ATTATTTTCATATACGCAAATGAATGTGTATTTAAAGCTTCGATCGTATATGTATGTATGTACATGGTCAGCGGCGCACAAAACACTACAAATATACACATTCAGCATTTTCACTTCCGCTTAGTAACATTTACTTCCCGCTTTTACTAAATTCATGCATATGTAAGTATATATTTATGTACATACATATGTAGTTGTTGTTGTATTTTTTGTATTCGTTCTTATTTCTTCATTTTCAGTGTGTAATTGCACACACTGGTCATTCATTGAGAACTTTGAGGAAGTCGTAATAACATGCATACGTACAAACAAGTTTACCTAAATATGTATTCAACAGCGGTTACAAGCAAAAACCGCTGAAGTCTTGTTATATCAATATTCAGTTTTTTGTATAAGCGATTTCTGCATATTATATGAATCAAAACGTTTTAATGTAGGTATTCAAAGCGGTAATTATGCATGAAAAAGTTATGAATTTAGTAATATGAACATTCGAGAGCCAAAATTAGCAAATTGACTTAGGTAACTATGACTTGTAGACAAATTGTGTAAAAACTCATTTCTTATATATGTGCATTTGTATGTATGTATATATATATAATTAGGTAAATATGTACATCAATCTATAAATGCAATAACGGGCCTTGGCATTTTCCTTCGTTGGTGAATAAGCTCGCTTTTACTCAGCCTGCTTGTTTATTTCCGTTGCTTTTGCTACTAGCAAATCATTCATAAAATCTAAAACCTTCATGTATACAAATATACGTAAACGCTTATATGTGTCCATATGTAAGTACAAGTAAATTTGCTTGCTTGTGTATCAGTGAAGTGTGTTTTTTCGCTTGAAGTAGTTTCAATTGCCTTATTTGATTAAAAATAAACATACGCATTGATATACAAGTGTATATGTGCATATGATATAAATATAATTTTCTTTCTCTTTTTTATTCGTAATTTCTTTTTTTGTTGTTTTCCACTTTTTTATATGTTTAGCGCTTTCATTCATAATAGCGATTATTGCCTCATTTTATTGTATTTTGAACTCCGATCATTGATATGTATATTCGTAAGTACGTACTCGAACTCTTGCTACATATTTTTTTCTTACTTTTATTTTTTGCTTTAAATTGGCATATAAATAAAAATAATTGTTGGTATACATATGTGTGCTTAAACAGGCTCATTGACAGTTGTTACTTCATTCATGAAAAATATATACATATATATATGTATGTAATACTTGTATATAAAAATCTCGTGTCACAGTGTTATTCACGATACACGATCCTCCGAAACGGCTTTAGCGAATTTAATGAAATTTTTAGTGCATATTCAGTAGGTCTGAGAATAACATAACATTTTTTTTAAAACCCCTAAGTGATGAGGGTTGTCCAACCCCTTATTATTATTATTTTTTTTAATGATGTCACACATATTACATAGAGCTCTAAATTTGAACCCTTCCCTTACCAATTCTTTTTTTTTCCAACCAAGAAAATTTTTTTTTCCAGTTTTTTGTCAAAATTTGTTTATGCCAAGCATAGATCGTGTGCAAGTATGTTCGCTGCCCGGCTACCCGACACAAGCTATTCTTATACGTTCAAGCATAGATCCTATTGCCATTTGCGTGGCGGGCTTTGACTAGCAAAGAATATAATTGAAAAAACTTCTTATTCGGTATTATATGATGCTTAATAAATGGTTTTTGTCGTTCTTTGCAAAATCAATGAGAATAAAAATTCTACAAAATAAAGAAATTTATATATTGGGTGACCCGAAAAGTAACCCGCGATTTTTTAAAATAAAGTAAATACTTTTTTTTTAAGTTTTATAATGAACTTTAATCAATTATGTAATTTCTATTTTGTTGTATGACCTTTCCGGCGACATCCTTATTTCACGCTCATATAACTTCTGGCCTTCATCTGCGTAAAACTGAACCAAGTGATGTCATTTTCGAAAGTTTAACCATTTAATGAGTTCTGCACAGATCGAAACAAATGGTTGTCTGACGGTGAAAGGTCAGACAGCCCAGCCAGTGACCAAAAATGTGTGCGGTCTAGCGTTGTCCTGGTGGAAAATGACACCTTTACGATTGACCAATTCTGTTCGCTTCTTCTTGATGGTACATTCAATTTGTCCAGTTGTTCACAGTAGACATCCGAATTAATTGTTTGGTTCCCTTGAAGCAGCTCAAAATATCCTACACTCTTCCAATCCCACCTAATTGAGAGTAGAATCTTCTTTTGGTGAATACCAGCCTTTGAAGTGGTTTGTGGCGTTTTCCATTGGCGTTATTGTAAACAATCCTTTTTTCATCTCCAGTTATGATTGGCTTCAAAAACAGATCATATTCATTGCGCTTAAGGTGCATTTCACAGGCATTGAAGTGGCTTGTTAAATGAACTTCCTTTCAATTCACGTGGTACCCAAATATCAAGTTTTTTTTTACCAGTCTAAGACGCCGTATAGTCGTATGATTCTGAATGGTTGATTTTGGTATACTTAACTTCTCTCCAATCTCAAGCTCAGTTACATGACGATCCGATTCGATTAAAGCCTTGATATCGTCATAATCAAACTCTTTGGCCGACCTGAACGTGGTATCTTTGAGTGAGAAATCTTCCGAACGGAATTTAACAAACCAACTTCGACATTATGTTTCTTTTAAGGCCTTATCCCCATGCGCACTAGCTGCTAAGGCCTACGTCGGTAGAATACAATTAAATAGTCACAAATTGTTCCAAAAAATTGTCAACGCCATCTGAATGAAAAATGACCGGTTTCTATTGGGGCTTCTCCAAAATAGTGACGCTTTGAACCCGCTGAAACGATTTTCCTCGAGCTAATCGTGGGTTTACGTCTTGATGTTTTTTCAACAAATAGAGAGCCCAACAGTTTAAACTAATCTGTCTCCGAACGGCTGATTTATTTTTATGGTGAGCTTTTGATTCATGTCATAAATACTCCCGGAGAGGCTGACATTGCCTGACGAAGGAGCGACTGCTAAATTTTTTATTTAAATTAATTTTTTAAATCTTTTGGGGTTTGGTCGTACCATACATACGGATATTCATATCGCTATATAGTGAAAGTATGCCGAGAAGTTTGAAAGTCAAATATTTCAAAAGATAAAAGTTAAAACCTGTTTTGTCTCCAAAATAAAGGGACCTATTTATTACTTAAGACGCCCACAGGCATTCATAAATATGAATAATATACTAAGCACATATAAAGTGTGACAGTGGTGTTTGCCGAGTCTACTATGAGCAGAACACAAGTTCAAGATGTGAAGAATGACAATGCTCGTCCTGGTCACCCGAGCTCGTTAACAACCGATCAAAACATTGACAAAATCGTCGAATATCTATCAGAAGAGTCGCAGTTAATGTGGCATATCGTTCGGCTCATTTCAAGCAATTTTCACGGATGTGTTAGGCATGAAATGTCAGAAACGCACAGAATTGTGTGAAAAACAATCATCGATTTTGAATCATGATAACACATCAGCTCACACACTGATGCTTGTGCCTGAGTTTTATTGCCTCATCCACCAAATTCACCGGACTTGACCCCCGTTGACTTTTTCCTCTTCCCAAAACTGAAGACACCGATGAAAGGAAAACGTTTTGCTATGATTGAGGAGATAAAAGAAAAATAAAAAAAACAGGAGCTATTGGTGATACCAAAAAACGAGTTTCAGAAGTGTTTCGAGGATTGGAAAAAATGCTGGCAAAGTGTATTATTAGTTATTGATAAATAAATAAACACTTTTTGAGAAAATTGATAACGGTTATTTCCTGATCACACTTCGTTCATACATATGTAATAGGTCTGTACATATGAAAAAAATGCACATAAAGGAAGATTTTTTAGCTATTACCTTTTTGGCAACACTGGTGTAAACAGCAGACGCACGTTTCGTGCTTTGTATCACTGTCAAACATCTTCTGATTGGTCTATAATTTAACCATGAATCGTCTTACAAATGAATAACGCTTACAATGGTGAGCGTTACCGTTTTTTGGCCAAAATGGAAGAGCATGACTTGCATGACATGTGGTTTCATCAAGACGGTGCCACGTGCCACACAGCACGCGTAACAAAGGACTTATTGAGAGGCGAGGTCNCTGGTGTAAACAGCAGACGCACGTTTCGTGTTTTGTATCACTTTCAAACATCTTCTGATTGGTCTATAATTTAACCATGAATCGTCTTACAAATGAACAACGCTTACAATGGTGAGCGTTACCGTGAGATGATATCAAACTTTTTGTTTTTCCCAAAATGCAAGAGCATGACATGTGGCTTCATCAAGATGGTGCCACGTGCCACACAGCACGCGTAACAATGGACTTAGCGGGAGGCGAGGTCGGTTATTTGGCGTTCGGGACCGGTCGATTGGCCGCCTAGATCGTGCGATTTAATGCCTTTAGACTATTTTTTGTGGGGCTGTGTTAAATCTAATGTCTATACAGGCAAGACCGCATTTTACTGAATTTTTTTATGTGTTTTTTTTTTAACTTTCCTATTGCTCTTAAAAAGTCACCCTTTAACTAAAAAGCCACTCTTTACATGTGTATATTTGAACTCATGAATTGCTGCATACAACAAAAATTTAACCGTATTTGTTATCGTTTATTGGTACCGATCAGATTTAAAGTATTTACATACTTACACATGGACATACATATTTATAAAGCGATATAAATGGATGAAAGAACAAAATAATAGTTTTGATTTTAGTTCAAAATTTTCCTTAAAACATTTTTAAACTGCAGTAAATAAGTAAACGAACCTTAATTTTCGCAAATTTAAATTTTTAATCAATGCTTGCATGGTAAGAGGAAATAAAAAAGAAACATATGAATCATACTGATTGAGAAAATATTTCACATATAAATAAATAAATAAATAAATAAATAAATAAATAAATAAATAAATAAATAAATAAATAAATATTTATAAGTTAATTTTTTCTTTTTTTTACATCTTTTTAGTACTCTGCCATACGAATTGGCCCGGTTGTGAAGAGAGATGTGATGAAAGCGTCCACAATGCTCGAGCATGAGTCACAGTGAGTACTTTTTTATGACAAACATAAATAATATTACAACAGTTGGTCAGATATCAAATCGTATAAGATGATGAAAGCTTATGTTATTCGGGAAACCCATGACGTGTATCAAATTCATGGATGATTTCTGCATATTTCCCTATACATACTCCTGTCAGCTTGCCTGGTGAATGAACCCCAACTTGGCAAGCATTTCTAATTAATTGTAAACTACAAAACCATCAAGTAATATGAGTAAAGTGTAATAGAAAAGAAGCAAACAATAATTAATTACATAAATGCAAATGGGTATGTGGTTCGTTACTCTTTCATTTCTCACCTTATTGCATTGTCGTCAGCGTATCGAGGGCGATAAGTGTTGAAGCTTTTCTACTGCCCACACATACAAATAGATATAAAATTAATGTGCAAAAGTGGCTCTTAGAAGCGAAATATTGATAAGTGTGTGACTTTCATGAATAAAACAATTTCTGTGCTTGTGTGTGTATGTATATGTTTGGGGTTTACATACATAAATATTTTTTTTAAAAAACCTCTTACAGTTGAAGTGTTTATTTTTTTTTATAAGGAAATGAGGAAATGTCCACGCACGCAAATGAATGAATGAATGAGTGAATTGAGTGAATTGCCATTAATGAAAATCGAAATCCAAATTTGATTGGGGACCCGAGTAGAAATGGCGTGATACGTATGGAAGTACACATGTTTATGCATACATATGAAGACCAGAGTTGCCATTTTAGATTTAGATTTTAATTAACTATGATGTTTATAAAAATTGAGGGCTTTTTCAATTAAAGATCTTTTTAAAAGAAAGACACCAATCGCATACCACTCAGGGGAGCAGGGATGGAAATAAATAGATGAGATAATCAGATGTCTGATCTGGACTATAAGAAGGTAATTTCCATTGCAACCAATAAAGACTTCACAGCGTTTAAAGTGAGGCAAGGATTAGAGCTCCTCTAGCCTGTGTGAACTGAAAAAGTTATGGAAATTAATAGCAACTGGGGTTTTGAATATTTATGAAAATTTTTTTGTTGAAAATGTCTGTTGTTAAATTAAAGTGTAAATCGAAAAACTAATCACGATAAAGTCACTCCGATTAAAAGAAAGGGATACAAAAAGTGGCACACAATTCTCTCGATTGAACTATTTTAAGGTTCTGCAAACGCAGAGTTTTGGAAAAAGCGGATCATTTTACAACAATAAGTAACTTTTATTTACACATTTAATGCCAACGTTCAAACTTTAGAATAAAATAAAATTTCAGGAAAAAAAATTAAATGTATTTTATTAACATTTATTTTCGAAAATGTAAGTACGAGTATATACTTTTTATGTTTTTATGTTTTATTTCATTTTAATATATTTATTATTATTTTTTGCATTTTTTGTTTTTTAATTTTATACTATTATTTTATTTTGTTTGGTTATATTTTACTTATATTATTTTATTTTCCTTTATTTTGGCTTAATTTATCTCTTTCTATTTTGTTATTTTATTTATTTTTTGTTATATTTTATATATTTTTCTTTATTTTATTCTATTTTATTTTTTTAATTTATTTAATTTTAATATATAGAGTAGTAACCCAATATTTGAATTTTATTTTTATTGTATTTTAATTAATTTTATTATTTACATATTTATTTATTTTGCTTTGTTTTGTTTACTTTTTTTAAAATGGTTTTTATTTTTTTTATTTTATTTTATTAACTAAGTTAGTCATTTTACATAGTAGACTGATATATACAACAAGCAATAAATTACATTCTTATTTAATTTCCTCCATAAAGGATATACATGTTTAATAAAAATATTTTAACTATGAGTATCTACACATTCGACAATACTGCGCGTGTAATTATATTCAATGAATATGAATATCGATTGAAAATTAACAAAAAAACAAATACGAGCTTATGGGTATGTTTATATGAATAATATAATATAATATTTACAATTTTTATAATTTGCGTTTTATTACTGTAAATTTAATGACTTTCTATTAAATATTTAGTGTCCTCCTTGATTTTATGATGTTTTGAATTTTATTTTAGTCATACATATTTTTTTATGACATAACGTTATAGTATTGACTAGGTTTCCATTAACCCTTCAAAAGCTGTCGAGTGAAATTTAGACTCAGTAAATATATATAAACATAGATAGAGATTCTGCTGCATTATGGTTATGGCAATCCTCATATGTACATATGTACAAAGTTATTAAAAACTCGCGTTGTGTGGTAGGCAGGGAAATATTTATAATTTATAGTGCGCATTACAATTAAATTTGTTAATGCCTCAGTAATAATGCTTACGTATACGTATGTATACATATATAATACGTATTTATAAAAAAAAATATTTACTTTTTGTGGCACTTATTTTGGCGATTTTTTGTGTTTCCTTCTTTTGGTCAGCAGCGTATTCATACATAAATGAAAATATATGCATATATATATGTATACAAATATTAAATTATTTTATATACATACTATATTTACGATTTTCCTAATTCGCAATGACACAACATTTAAAAGTAATAATTTCTTATATATTTTTATGGCCTCGTAAATATTTTTATGTTCAAAACTTTTTCTGGATTATAGCGGATTAAACGCCAAATAGATAAGTAGGAGATGTGTACAGTTGACTTTCATTCGATAAAAAAAATGATTAAAAAATGAAAATATTAATATGAAATAATTTTTATTCTGCAATTTAAGCAACTTCCCAGTTCAAGTTATTAGTTTTGGACGTCTGCTTTTAATGTTTTTGTGTTTTCGGCATCTTTAGTTGTACATGGATTTTCTTGGATCAAACCGCCTAGAGAGTTGTATTAATAAAATACATAGTTGAGATAGTGTTAATGTTTACTTTTGCTTTTATAGAAAGTGAATGAAGGTGATTTGTGAAATATATACAAAAGTCGGCATGTTCTGTATAATTTTTGCTGCAATTTCTATATTATTATTCAAAGCTCAACCAACCAAAAGCAAATTTATTATATATTATATATTTATAATTTCATTAGAGCGCCGCCATGTAAATGAAAAGTTGTCATCGCTTGCCGCTATGGACGGCGGTAAGAGAAAAACCAAAGCGACTTTATTTTGTTCCATAAACCCCACTCAACTACTTGTCGAGACCACCAGTAAATACTTTCTTCGATTCTCATTTTTTTTTGTATTTATTTTTATTTTTATTTAAATTTTTATTTATTTCTTTTATTTGTTTATTTTATTTGTTATTTACCTCCATTAATATTATATCTGTCTTGGGACACTAAGTCATTTATATTGATTGGAATTCAGCGGTCTCAAAGCGTCCATTATATCCGTATACGAGTAATTTGCCGCCATTGATTTCAATACCCCTTATATTAAACTAATCAAGTACTTTGTTGAATTCATTTAGTCATTTATTGTTGTTTTACGTTTTGAAATGATAGCAATAATATAGTGTATAAAGTCGGTATCGGTACGGCTGCTGTATATAAAGACGCAGTACGGGTCCTACACGCTGCCTTGGGGAACTCTCCACCAATAAAGTTGGGGTTAAGATTTGAACATGTAACACACAGAGTCAAAAGAGTCAAAAGAGTCAAATGTCTGACGGTTGAGCTGAAACAATAGCAAATACGCCACTCTGTGTAATGAAATTGACGAGAAGGCTGGAAGGCGGATCAATTGTAAGATGGAATCGCTTAACTGCCTGCAAGACCGTCAAGACCATATATACGGACAGCGAAAAAGAATTATTTGATTTTGGAAATCCAAGAAATGAGTGAGACGTAAGAACAACTCCTTAATTTCAGTCCGTCCTTATCCAGGAGTACGTTATATAAGTATTTAGGGTCTACACAGTTCATAGAAATAGAAGAAATCTCAAAGCAGTTGCTCTTCTACTTTGCAAACAAAAAAAAATTGTTGGCCCATATGAATATACATCACTATAAAGAACCCACAGGTCTATGTACGGCGTATCAGCCAGCCATTATAATCTAATCTAATTGAATTAATTGATCTTTTGATTTCTAATTCTGTCTTGAGCTTTTCTAGATCATTAGAAAAATAAAACTTTTTGTGGTTATACATAGTTTTTGATTCTTTACCAAATGACTACCTGATCAACTATTCTGATCGTACCTTTGAGTACTGCATTGACGGAGCTTTGTATCGTATTTCTTTTATCCACATATGTATATATATCATGATTGATTGTTGTTGTTGATTTTTTATATATATTTTTTTTATACATTTTTTCAGCTCGTGCTATTTGCTTTGAATATTTAATTTATTTATTTCAATTTACCTTCTTTATAACGTTTCTATGTTGTTGTTGCTGTTGTTATTATTAGTCAATCTTCCGGCGGATGTACAACAACATCGACAGCACTCCATAGTTTTATGGTCACTCTACTCATATTTGGTTATGCATACCTACTTGTAGAAGTCGCGCTCAACGAAACGTGATTGGCATTTTTTTATGAGAAAAATAAAAAATTATTTCAGAAAATTTCTGGAATAATTGTTTGTAATAATTCGTACCTAAATTTATCCGCTTTATATATTAGGTGTAGTAAAAATAAATCCATTATTTTTCCAATATATGACGTTATTTATCTGTATCTCGCTTGGTATAAGTCCGATCGGGTTCCGCGTGGCGTTAGTTTTCGATGTACGAGGTGTGTTCAAAAAATTATCGCGAATTTGGGTTTTCAAAAATTATTTATTTATTCATGATTTTTTCCCCTTAAAAGTAATTTCCATGAGATATTATACACTTGTGCCCACGGTTTTTCCAATCTTCAAAGCACTCCAAATATCATTTTTTTATCTTGTTCAGCTCCTCCTTCTATGTCGTCTTTATCTCGTCAATCGTAGCGTAACGCCGTCCTTTCATGGGCCTCTTCTGTTTAGGGAACAAGAAAAAGTCACAGGGGCCAGATATGGGGAATACGGTGGCTGCGGCATCATTAGTGTGTTGTTTTTGGCCAAAAAGTCGCGCACAAGCAACGATGTGTGAGCAGGGGCGTTATCGTGGTGCAAAAGCCAATTTTTGTTCTTTCACAATTCCGAGCTTCGCGCAAATTGCGCATAACTGGCTGATAATATTCCTTATTGACCGTTCTACCCTGTGGCAAGAACTCATGATGCACTACGGCCCTGCAAATAATTTTTTCGTCTCGGGCGTCCGGCACGCTCTTCGTCGTTCACATCTTCTCGCCCTTCTGAGAACATTTTGTACCACCGATAAACGTTGCTTCGGTCCAAGGTAGCTTCTCCGTATGCCACAGTCAACATTCGGAATGCATCCACGCACTTAATTTCGTTTTTCACACAAAATTTGATACAGGTTCTTTGATCCATTTTTTTGAATAGGTAAAAATCGAAGACCATCCAAGACACGTGCAAGCAAAGCAGCTGTCAACAATTAAGTGAACATTCAAAATGGCCGAGCATGTCGGCATAAGTGACAGTCATGAGTACCAACATAACGCCACAAAAAAATCGAAATTCGATATTCTTTGAACACACCTCGCATGGATGCCACACGAGTTAACGCTAAACAAACTCATGGACCGAATTTCCATCTGATTTTATGAGAGAGGCACCATGAAATTATCTTTAAAATGGCAAGGAGTTATCGAACAAAACGGCGCATAGTTGACCTAAATGGGTCCATTCTAACTATGGTAATTAAAGCCTTAAATTTCAGACAAAATAAATGGATTTATTTTTACCACACCTAATATGAATACGGATGAAATAAGTAGAACTTGTTGACTACCTGCATACAAAACAAAAAATATATTTTTATTCAATGGCCTTTAATAGTAGCAAATATCATTATATAAGACGCATTTTAAGTTTTCAGCCAAATCTTATGATTTTCTGAACTTAAAATTTTTGTAGTTTTTGTTTGTTGTAATTAATGATGCCTACCTCCGATAGGATGTAATTGATTTATGGATTATGTTTTCTTTTATATTAGTAAAAAATATATTTATAATTTTCAAATTTTTGTTTTAATTACTCATGAACATGCTCAAGATGCCCTCATCAGCCTCTTTGCATTCTGATTTTTGCTCACAGAATGATATGATGTACTTTAGCTCAACAGAAAGCAGACACAAGAAAGTAATAAACTTATATATTTTTATATTTTTCTTTAACTTTTTTCACGTTTTTTATTTGTTCTTACTTTGGGTGTCTTTTTAATTATATTAAATTGCTTTTCAACGCGATTTCCTCTTTGCGGCAGCAAAACCATGGTGGAGACTTGCGTCTTTTTCGGTCGCTTGTCGCATGTTGTTTACTGCTATTGCTGGCTTCCCGGCTGTCTGCTGTTCTGTTCTGTTTGTACTGTCGCTTGGTTAGTTTTTGGTTTGTCTTAATGATCATGACATGCCATTGGCGCTTCCGTCTCCGGGGCAATCAGCCGTCGTCAACTGCCACACATTGATGATGCTGGTGCCACTGTTTTTGCTATTGTTTCTGTGTTATTTTTACTACCACTTGTACTGGAGCTGTTATATTGTTGTAGTTACTGGCGATTTTGAACAACTGCCCATCGTTAGTAAAAGCGACATTTGCTGAGACAGATTGTCTTATCTTCAAAGCCGATAATGTGTGTGTGTGTGACTTCAGTGCCTTGTAATAATGATTTGTCTGTGGCCGGTCATCGATTTTGATGTGTATGTGCTATACACATATAGTGAAAACTTTAAAAATATACATTTTTCAATTCAAATTTATCCAATCAACCGCGCAATAAATATTTTTTCGGAGTTAATTCATGAAATCACTTAGGTTTCTCTCGAGAGCTTCATTTGCTAAAACCACTCAAGTTGCATGTTTTATTATTATTATATTATTATTATTTTTTTTTTATTAATTTTTGTTTCATTCTCTTTTTTTTGTTATACTTCTCAGATATGCAACGATTTTGGCTTTCGATGTTAAAGTGGAGCGGGAAGCCCAGGAGATGGCGGATTCGGTGGGTGTGAAAATATTCCAAGCTGACATTATTTATCATCTGTTTGACAAGTTTATGGCCTATCGTGAGGAGTTGAAGCAAAAGAAACGTGAAGAATTCCGCTCAATTGCCGTCTTTCCATGCAAACTTAAGGTGAGATTTCTTAAATTTTTAAATTTTTTTTTATGTTTATGAACGAGTAAATATATTTTGAAATACGTATGTACATACATATGAATACAAGAGTCGTCTAAAAATATTTTGTTGTGGTTTCGAAAAAGTACAAGTAAAAAGTAGAAAAAGGAAAACCTGTGTATTTCTTGTCTTGAAATTTTTTAATTTGAAAATTGTAAACACTTTGCAATTTTCAATTAATGTCGTACAATTCAAATGTATTTAATTTAAAACATACTTATTAATTCATAGATGTTTTCAGCAAGTATTTTTATGGCGAATAGTGTTGGAAAATGCTTTTAATAAACAATACTAATCAATTAAGAATCTTTATAATTTTCAACAAATTAATTAACATTTATTTCTGATTTTCTTGAAGAGTAAAATCCAGTTTTATTATATTTCCATTTTCCAAAATCAAAACGTCCAAATCAAACTGTTAGTTTTCGTAATTGTTCTAATTTGTAATTTTATTACAAAAAAATCAATAAATTACGCTAATTTAGTTATAATAAAGTTGTTAAATTTTTTAGCCTTTTGACATTTTTTTTTAGTAATTTTACTTTTCAAACTTCATTAAATTTTTATGTTATTTAGAATATTTTTAAAATTAACTAAACAAGTGGAATATGTAAAATTAATCTAGTTTTCGCTTTGTAATTGTTTAAAAATTAATGAAGAATTATTTATAATTAGTTTAAATAATTAAAATTCGTTTTACTCAAAATAAAAATAATTTAATTCATTTTAAACTGTTTAATAATGAATTAAATTTCTTCCTTATTATTTTTACAGCTATTTTTCTAAATTGTGACTCTTTTTCAAAATTTTCAATAAATATAACAATAAAAATATTATACGTTTTTTAAATAGTAAACAAAACTAAAGGCAATGATAACCGTCAATTTATGGAATTTTTCTTATCAAAAGTTTTGGAAAATATTACATTTCAACAAAAGAACATATTTTAATTATTTATATTTGAATATTTAAATAGTTCTTTTTTGGACTACACTAATATATTCATACATATATATTTATATACATTTTATGTGGATTTTTGGGAATAACAATGCGTGCGCATAAATCAAACATACAATGTATACTCATATATACTTTTTAAATTGCTCCACTTCACAACTGATTTGTTGAAAAATGAAAAATAGTGTGTTAATAAATCAATAAATGCGAACGTGTTCAAACTAAGAAAAGAAGTGTGCAAAAATATACATTTTAATGCAAAATTTAATAGCCACTAAAAATGTTAAATTTCTCTACTTTATAGATCCTACCCCAATTCATCTTCAACAGTCGTGATCCCATTGTTATGGGTGTAATGGTAGAAAATGGTATTGTTAAAGTGGGTACACCGCTTTGTGTGCCCAGCAAAGAGGTGAGTCACAAGCAAATGAAGCTATTTTTTATATTTATTATAGGACGATCTAACTTAATTGGTGAAGTTTATTTCTGGTAGAGAATTCGGTTGTGTTAGTCATTCTCTTATAAAAATTTAATTATTAATTGAGTGAAAACTTGCCGCCATGACCTATGTCTGTAGATGGGGCCTTGTTAATTTTTTGAACAATCATAGTGTATTCAGTGTAGTTTTATACCAATAAAAATGGTGTTTTTACTTTAAAAGTCTCGAAAAATTAACAGGTATGTAAATATTGAAGACTTCTTATGCGTGATTTTCCCCCTTCTGCAAATATTATTTGTTTATTTTACTCCTTTTGAGCTTGCATTTTGTATATGTCAAGGTACACGTATGTACTTAAATAAACATGTACGTTGTTATGCACATACATATGTACATTTCAGTAAAAATCAAGCTTTTGCAAAATAAATGTCATTGAAGTGTTTTTAAGTACATAAACATGCTTAGATATATTTAAAAATCAAAATAAAAAATAATTTATACATATGTATGTTCGTAAACTGTATGGTAAAAACTCTGAAGGCTCTAGTGCATACTTATGCACAACTGCGTACATATTTACGTGTGTATGTTTTTATAACATATGTATGTATAGGCACGATAAATGAAACAATGAACGTCCTTATTTCCAATTAATTCACTATTTCACGGTATCACCGACTAGATTTATCAACAATAACTTACTATTGTGCATAATTTTAGTAGATATGAAATTTCTCAGCGCAGTTTATGCATAAGAGTTGGTAAGCCAAGTCAATATGCTGAATTTGCTAGATATCAATATACAAGGCTAAATTAATGAGTGTATAGTGACAATTAATGCTGGTATAGTGACAGCAACAGTTGTGTGGGCTTTAATACCTATCCATCATTAAAACTTTTGAAAGAAATAATAATCATAGAATAATATTTATTTTGAACAGCAAAGACCTTGCCGCCAATCTATTTGAATTATATTTAAAAATATTTACTCTCTTTCTTTATAAACTGGGTTGACTGTGTAGAGGCGTGTGAAATCTGTGTAAATCAACGCAACTCCCTTCTTGAATTTTCTATTTACAAACTCTTTGCAATAGATAGTTATATTTGTTTATTATAATCTTTTATTTGTTCTTCAAATGCTCTTTATTTGTTTAGTTTTATTTATTTATTCTTTATTATTTTATTTTCTTTTCAATAGAGTCTAGAATTTGCAACTCTAATGGCCTCTACATATTGCTCTCTTTTATTGACACAAGTGTTTAGTTTTGTGAAATTCGCTAATTTAAATAACACAAATAATAAAAAAAAATATTTACTTAGTACTTTTTTTTTATCTATGTTTGCATTGCACACCCTTGAGGAGTTGCTCCAATGTTTTTTTGTAAAAATATTAATGGGGGAGAAACTCTAAGTTCTAATAAGTCTAAACAATTCTATTATTAGCGTGTATTAATAAATGAATAAATTTAAGTATCTAAATTCATAACACTGACGATTAATTAAGTTCTAAGGAATCTACTAAACAATAATTATTGCCTAAAATCTGAGTAGTTTAATAAATTTCTTTCAAATTTGTTGCAAGTGTTGCGGCATTTTTGTTTTTGTATATTATAAAGTATAGTTTCCTCAAAAGAAATTACTAAAAAAGAAGTGTAGATAGAAATTCAATAATACATACGTGTATAATATTTTTGGTTACTCCGAGTCCTTAATTAGTCAGATAAATTTTTCAATTAATCATCATGCGCGATCAATAAATTAACCAAAACCATGCGACTAAATTTATTCCAAATTTGAAAAATATCGGGTGTGGCTTGTGTCAAGAAGTATGTATATCTCAGAAACATTCGATATCTTTGCACAAAGGTAATTTCGATGGTCTAGTTTAGTCACAAATTGGATACGGGCGCAACCGGGCACAACAACTACGCCTTTGTATTCACACCGACCTTAACCAAATTAGTTAAGTATGCTGTATGCTATGTGTATGAGCACTGAGGTCCTACCACAAAATGGCTGATTTAAGCAGGTCCAGAAATGGACCTACCTTCCATATAACTGACATTCTATTTTTAATCGATCTTCTAATATATAATATTCTCGTGTCACAGTGTTGGACACGATACTCCTCCGAAACGCCTTGACCGATTTTAATCAAATTTAATGTGCATATTCAGTCTGAGCATAACATATAATATAACATATAACATAAATTTTAATTTATATTTCGATTTACTTGAAATTTGATACTTTGGTAGCCTTTTGCTTAGTTTAGCAGGAACATTACTTTAGTTTCCAGGCATAGTACATAGGACCGATTTATTTGAAAAAATCATTTCTATGGTTTGGATTAATTTATAAAAAATTTCGGAATTGGGCCAAGGGTCACTGAGCAGATATTTGTTTGGTTTAGTTCATTCTATAACCCGTTAGATGGTGTGATTCGTTGACTTAAGCAGAAGCTTTGTTAGAAGGCCCGCCGAAATCCGAGTAACTCCATAGCGGGTGGTGTATAATTCTCATTTCAATGAATTGTGCAGAATACGAGTAGATATATTATATCCAAGTGAGAGAAGAAAAAACTCTCAGAACGAGAAACTTTTATATTGAAAACCATTTATAGTTTTTCCTGAATTGATAACGACTGGGCCGAAACAAAATGTAGCTTAATGGGATAACCATTGGCTCGTTCTGTGGACATCCCAAGTTCGAATCCAATCCGAACAAAGGTGTCTCGAAAGAGAAGTCTGATGAGGCTATAATTTCTACCGTCTAAAACTGTTGTTCTAATTTTTTCACGTACTCCCAAAAATATATGGTCTGAGACAGTTCCATAAAACTAAAACCCAAATACAATTCTACAAAATGATGACCTGAAAAAGCATCTTAAAATTTAACTTTATTAAGATATTCTCGGTGACTGATTTATGCGAGTGACTCTTAGATGCAATTCAGTTCACTTGAAATTTAATTTGTTGGTAACTTATCGTTTAGATTTGCTTGATATCTCAATACGCTTGGTTTAATTAAAGTAATTTTATGAGAATTGCCCATGTTCGTGTGTTGACAAACCATCTTTGTTGTTTGTTCCTGTTTGCTTATTGTCATATTGCTTTCTGCTGATCGAGTTCACTCTTACAGGACTATTCTGTCGAGGTAACAAAATTTACTTTGGTATTAAAATTTACCATTCAGTAAATATTGTTACCATTTCGTATTCTAAGCTCACTGTTACCCTGTAAATTTTGTTACCAGCGAAATAGGAGGTAACAAAAATCTGCTGTTTGATTTTGTGTTGTAAGTTTGAGAAAAAATAAAAAATCAAAATGAGTAGGCATATATTAAGCCTAGAATTCATTGAAGATGAAGAAAAAAGTTCAAAAAGCCGTATTTTAAGAAGTTTTCGAGACTAGAAAATAGCTCTTTAATTTGTAAGATAACGCTTTCATTCAGTTTTTTTTGTTGTCCAGGCATAAATTCCATAATTAGGTTCAAATATGATTTAATTAACAAATAAATAAAACTTTTTAATTTTTTTGTGCACCGTTTTCCATTTCGATGGGAATAATCTTCCTTTTTACTTTACCAACTGGCAAATGTAATTTGACATGGACGAAAAAATCAGTGCTGCCAAAGTTTTTTCCAACATTGCAACCAGTTCGCCGGAATACCAAATTCAATTTCGGAGGTTAGAAAAAAGTAACAAATTTCACTTTACTGATAACAGTGATAATAGGCCTGTTGATGTAACATAAAAGCATGTAATTAAGACGAGGCGAAGTTTGCCGGGTCTGCTAATAATAATATAAAGATTTCTTTTGCTTGTTTTATACTCATTTTAATTGACATATGATTAATTGAAAATTCCTTCAATGATGAATAAAAATGATTTGCAATTTGAATTTACTTTTCTTTTTCGTTCGAAAAGCCAATCCAAATATAAATGCTGTGAATAACCAATATGGAGTTATCTGCAAAATTTATTTCATATTTTTTATTGGTTACACTTTATACTATTTAGTCAATTTACCATCTGTCGTTCTAGCGATCGCAAGAGAGTATAATTTCCTTTCTGTCCATTAGCAGCAAATCAATTGCTTCCTTTAAAGTGAAATATGAATTTAAATCAATTTGGCATATCCTCTTTGGCTTTTGTCGGTGACAAGAAAAAAAAATTTGTTCAACTTGTAAATGTTGCTTGTTGTGTGTTGTTGTTTTTGTTGTTGTTTTTGTTGTTGTTGTTTTTAGAAACAAAAAACGAAAGAAAAATAAACAATCGCTCTTCCTGCCTGTATGCCAAATCGGTTTTTAACTTCATTCAAAACAATAACAACAGTAACAAAAAAAAATGTTACGTGCAAAAGCCCAGTCAAGCCACGCCAAGCCGCAGACAAAACCAAGCAAAGTGGCTTGTTCCTTTCAGCCACTGCCACTGCCGCTACCATTGCCGGATTCACATTTAACGCAACGTAATTATAGCTTCCTCAATTATCCACACTGCGCCAGCTATCCGGTTGGAGCTTCTCTGCAACTTCTGCGTCAATAGTCGCTTGTTCGTTTCATAAGTTCGTGAGCGCAGCCGACATATGTACATAAGTATGTGCATACATAAATACATACACACGCATACGAGCACATGCATATGTCATAAAGATATGTGCACTCTAAAGTTCTGATAACCTGTTGGTCACTGTTATTATTAATATCATCAGATGAGTGCATTTTCAAGTTTTGTGGCACTTGTGCTCATGTGTGTGTGTGAGAGAGTTCCCTTTTTATTATTTTTTGCAAACAGGATATTTGCGTCAATTTATTGTAGACAGGTATATTACATATAAGCAATTTCCTTTCATGAAATTGTTGCAATTGCTATCTATTTGTTTGTTACACTTGCTGCATAGTACATAGATATTTCTTTGCTGTGCTAAGGACTTGTTTTTCCCCATAGTCTCCGTAGAGTATCGGGATATCCA